TGTTGCTTTAGTGATAGATGATAAACCGATGTTTATGGGATTAACCTCTCTTTTACATAAGTTTTCAACAAAGTTATTTCCCGATAATGAGATGTGGTAGATATGCATTCTTTGGTGATGGACCTTAATCATGACAAGGATGAAATTCATGGAGATAAAGCAATATGTATCACTTCTTATCTCCTACTTTTTGATAGGTTCATATATATGATTTCCATGTTATTGTTATATAAGTGTGAGACTAATGTTTACTTGAGTCTTATCTTATTTAGTCTCCTTTACATTGAGAACATGGAGATCATAAAGGTATGTGTTTTTTGCTTTATCTTTATCATTGCTACATGCCTTCTCCATGTGTATAGGATAAACCCCATTGGTTCTTCATAACTTATGCATACACTTGCCTCTCTTGTATATTTATTTGTATGCATATATTTAGGGGGAGCAAATCCTATACATTTATTGTGCATGTTTTAGATCCACGTTGTTCACCTATTATTTATATTGGATCTTTGCATTTGAGCTTGCATACGAGTATATGACACTTGCGATGTTAATGAATACTCAACAAACATATCCATATCTTTCATATGCAACCGGTTGGTCACCAAGTGGAGGATGACAACCGATTTGTTGGTACTAATGTTCTTCTTTGAGATGTGCAAAGGAATAGGTCTAATTGTGATGAAGCTAATGGATGACACCATGGGTTGATGGTCACCAAGCCAAGGGCATCGCCATGTCAACAAGAATGAAATCAAGCTTGTGATGAGAAGAAAGTCTTGACAAATGATGGTAAATACCTTGGTATAAACATGGTTGAATCAAATGGTCATAAGTATTGATCTCGACTCAAGCTTGACCCCAAGATGGATGGCGCAAGGCAAAGGTACTAAGAATGTTTTCTTAGTCTTTTCCCGGTCTTGGTGTTTGGTGTAGACCAGATTTGCTAGATAGGTGCCGTACTATCAAGAGGGGTCTATAAAGCGAGCTTGTGGATGATCTTGTGCCATGTTAGTTCATATGCATGTAGGTGCATTTGGTGGGCTTGTCTAGCCAAGTGTGATGAGTTTTCTCAAGTCCTAAACCAAGAGAGAAGTGGGCATGTCCAATAGGAGTGAGTGACATCTTATGGGTATGTCCGGTGGATATCCTTTGGAGTTTGAGCCCTTTATCCTTGACTTAAGTTGTATTTCTTGGATGGTTTTTTCATGGGTTGGATGGCCCTTTGAATAAGCTTTCCATAGAGTCCAAGAACGCCAAATTCCGAGACCCGAGTCAAGAGATATCGTCGTTTTACTAACGGTCGGTTAAGCTGAAAAGTGACCTGCGGTCTGACCGTGGGCCTTAGGCCGGTCTGGCCGGGCCTATTAGCCGGTCTGACCGGTGTGATAAGGCCGGTATGACCGGCCGCACTGGTCTGTTGCACTGGTCTGGTTTTTGGTGACGATACAGAGCCGCTAGAACCACAACCGGTCAGACCGAGCCGATGGCGGTCTGACCGAGCCGTGGACAATCTGACCGCCTACTACACTGCGGTCAGACCGGCCAGGTTGAGTGGGCTCAATGGTTGCCCTGTAACGGCTAGTTTTCTAGTCGTTACAAAGTAGTCCGGTCTGACCGGCCACTCTATGGCGATCTGACCGGCAGAGCACAAAGTTGGGGATTTCAACTTCAACGGCTAGTTTTGGTGGTTGGGGGTATATATACTCACTCCCCAGCAGCAAGGGCAAGGTTTTGGCACTCCATTGCATTATCTTGAACCCTTGCAAGAGCTCTCACACCCTTGTGCACTTAGTTTATCTAGTGAGGTGTTAGAGAGTGAGTTAAGCCAATCCAAGTGCATTGCTTCATTGTTATAGCTAGTGTGGCACTTGATCATCCTCGGCAAGTATCCTAGACTTGTTACTCTTGGAGGTTGCCGCCTCCTAGACGGCTTGTGGAGGTGTTGCCCGGTGACCTCTCCGAGGAGATTGTGGAGGAGGCCCGGCACCGTTTGTGAGTGGTTTGGAGTTCACCACCTTCAGAGTGAAGGAAGAACTACCCCGAGTTATCAAGGCTTGGATAGTCCTTTCCGTGGGCCGGCTCCCGCCTTGCCCACCCCTTGACGAAGGGGGCGTGCGGTGGCTTCGTGGTTGAGCGGTGGAGTTGGGCTCGCCTCAACGGGGATTAGGAAACTGGCGAGTTTCTGAATCTCGGTGAAAAATTCCTTGTCTCTTGTCTCATTTATTTGTCGCATTTACATTTGTGTTATTTACATTCATAGAGACATATTTGAGCCCATATCACTTAGGTTTGCAAAACTTAACTTAGTTGCTTAGTTAACCTTGCACCTCACCTTGCCTAGCAACTTAGGTTAGTTTTGTTTAAGTGCCATTAAGTTTTAAAACCGCCTATTCACCCCCCTCTAGTCGGTCTCCTTGATCCTACACACTGGGCAATGGTATTGAACTAACCAGATGGTCTAGTGTCGGTACCGGACAATGGGCAATGGACAGTCCAAGTGATACCAGATTGTTTGGCTCTTTATAGCCCAATGGCTATTTGGTTAGTTACCGTTTGAAAGGTGTAAAGAGCCTGACTGTCCGTTGCGACACCAGACTATCCAACCCAATATATTTTCTAGAAACATGTTCGAACGGTAGCAAATGGCTAGTTAGTGCAATAGAGCAACCTAATGGAGAGTCCCTTGAGCTTATTTGGGATCAAATCCTTGTAAGTTTAATGCTCATAGTGGCTTAGTGTGCGCCCACCGAGAGTTCCGTTCTTAGTGTTTCAAGTGAAGGGTGCATCTTATTGTTCTTGACATCTTTGTATGCCTAGCTAGCCTCAGAGGCGAACCCTGTGACGCCTCAAGATGCTTGTGGAAGACCCGATGTGATTGTGAAGGGTTTGGGGTTGAACCATCAAGAAGAGAGCGCCGTTGAAAGGGAGCAACACTCCTGTGTGTGCTCCAATGAGGATCAATGAAGATTGTGTTTGATTCCTTCTCTCTCTTCACTCTCTTGCATTTAGATTTCTAGCTTGAACTAGATTTGTGTGTGGTCAGCTGTAGGTTGCAGTCCATTCTTTGAAACCTGGGCACTTAGGCTAAGTTTATGTTAGAGTTTCTAATTTTGGCCAATTTGTTTAGAACTAAATTGGAGCTCGCCATTCCCTGTCTTCGAAAAGGAGCGGCAAGGTGACAATTTGAGAGAGCTTTATCCCCCCTGGCACCAACTATATCAAATATTATGACCAAATGCAGCAGTATTTGTCTTCTTTTGTAAAGTGCCTAGAAAACATAGACATATATTCATCCAAGAGCATATTTTTAGAAACAGTCTAATAATTTAAAGAGTAAAGTGCATTGGCGGTCCTTAAACTTGTAGAATTGTGTCATATAGGTCCCTAAACTCTCAAAATGCATATCCAGGTCTCAGAACTTGTCAAAGTGTATCATCTAGGTCCCAAATCGACACATCCCCTCTAGCATCCTACGTGGCGTTGATGTGACATGCCACATGGACGTGACGTGTCATTTTCCTTTTTTTCTTTTCTTTTTCTTTTTCTTTTTCTTCGTTTTCTTCTCATTCTTCTTTTTTTTTCCTTTCTTCTGCTCGGGTCACAGAGAAAGGAGAAGAAATGGGAAAAAAAGAAGAAAAAAGATAAAGGAAAAATTTTAAATGGGACCCATTTGTCAGTCAAAATGATGCCACGTCATTCCGTGTGGCATGCCACATCAACGCCACGTAGGATCCTGAAGGGGTTGTGGCGATTTGGCACCTAGATGACACACCATGACAAGTTCTGAGACTTGGATATACATTTTGAGAGTTTAGAGACCTATATGACACACCACTACAAGTTTAAGGACCGCCCGTACACTTTACTCTAATTTAAAATTTCAAAATTAATAAATATTGAGATGTACTCCCTCTATTCTAAATAAGTGCAATACTACTACTAGGATTCAAAAGACAAATTACCAGGAAAGAAAATGACCTAGATGCCCCTTATTAAATAGGGAATGTATATATGCACACAAGCTTATGGTGTACATACATGCACACCAATTAACAAATACCACTAAATATTATAGAAACAATTGTGCTCGTACTTCCAATAGTATTACACATATATGCAAAGTTGCATCAAATTCATTATATTTTAGTCGTAACCAAAAAAACACAAAATTATTAAATATATATGCTTTATGAACTATCGTATTTTTTTGGTTATGGCTAAAGAATAATGAATTTGAAGTTGATACTTTACAGATATATGTAATACTATTGAAAGTACAAGTACATTTTTTCTAGAATTTTCTATAACATTTGTTAGTTTGTGTGCATGAAGCATACATCGTAAACTTGTGTGCATAGAAGGTTCAATAATAGATGGTTCAGGGTAAAATGAGAAATTTGAGTGAGGGGTGGTTGAAGGAAAAAGGTAGTATTCTATAAGTATACTTATTTGGGGACGAAGTGAGTCTTTCCTTATCTTGAAATCTCAATCTAGTTCTTTTTCACAATTAGTAGTAATAAAATTAGAAATTGATAATTAACCTCTCTTGACTATGGACACTTATTTTAATATATAGTTTGGTCGCACAATGATGAAGAGATGTTCACTCTTTATTAGATTATGGATCCTTTGCGATGCAGTATCCGAAAACATTGGAACAGGAAAATTATAGGAATAGAATGTCATGCTACAACAAATCCTACAGGAAATAAATGCACAGGATTTTACGAAAACTATATTGTTTGGTAGCACCATAGGAAAGCATAGGATTTATGAGTCACAAGGAAGAGAAAACATGAGGTTAGACCTCATGTTAAATCTCCTTCAAAATTCCTATGGAATGAGCTATTCCGTAGGAGTTTCAAAGGATATTGTGATTTTGTGGAAGTAGTTCCTTTGTTCTAAAAGACCTTGTAGGAATATATTCCAATGGATTCCAATCCTCCAATATTTCTCCACTTTTCCTTTGTTCAAAAAGAGCTCTTATTGTGAAATTTTCTCATTCTGCCAAATTAGTTTGTTGAATATTGAGTAGGGGATCTTGAAAAACTGCAGCAGTTTGGAGATGACCAATGACAGGAAAGGACTGAAAATGCGATACTCCTATAAGGATGACCAAAGTACACTGCCTAGTCTTCATCTGGCAAATTGGTACACACTGCACACTATAAACCTGCAGTTCTACTCTAACTGAAGACCTATTTACAGAGTTACACTACTACTACGGTACTACCACAAAAAAAAAAGAAGGGGGAGGGGGATCTGTACACAGCCAAACCAGCTGACCAAGGCCGTATGCCCCGTATCCACATTCACATATTACAACGACAATTTATAGGCTTGCCATCAAGTTGATTTCAGCCGGTCCAATCTGAACTTCGCCTGAAAAATGAGCAGATGCTATATAAATTCACCGACAGAAAGCCCTTAATCTTTGCAAGATGAATTCAGAATCAGTGCAAGGCGCTACTGCTAACCATCATGGCATGGATATCGTCAAGGAAGGGCTTAAGCAACTTTGCGAGCTTTCGAATCTCCTCCTTCAGAGCAGCACAATCTTGGCATTTGCCAACGAGCAGGTTGATGAACATCTTCCTGTCAGGAATGAGTTTCATTGCGATCTGTTCACCACGTTTATCAGAATTGTGTCAGCCAAGTGCAATGGAACCAAGGATTGATCATTTTCGACAAAATCGATGCCCCAAGATTCAGTAAACCCTGACCTTGTAGGCTGCTGAAGAGATCCACCCATGCCATGGCTTTAGAGTGACCATGTATGCAGATTCTACAAGCTGTGCAAAACACTTCTGATCAGAATCCTCCTCCAATCTCTGTAATAGTGCAATAGTGAAATCCATGGATCTGGTGACGTTAGAAAAGGTAAATACAAATGAGAAGAGGCATATTAAGCAGCCTACGTATTGCATATCTCATAATGACATGCTATGAAAGATCGAAATTTTCAAGCGTAAGTGCATATATAAGAGAAGAACGGAAGCTCATTACATGGGCTGTCTTGTTTTACCTAGTAAGCCAAAGAATAGCTCTCGCGCAGCTATCAACCTTCCTTGCAGTGCCCTCATCTACCTCCTTCTCCAGTATCTCCTCTAGATTATAGTATTTGGATGGGTCCAACAAGTACAACTCCTGCAGCCTCTGCAATAGGCAGTAACAGATCAGAAAACAAAAGGTTGCACCTGGATTTTTTTTCTTCAAAATTCACAGAAATGTTCAAAAGATATACACTGAAGTCAGCCAGAGTCACCCATTAGTAAATAGTTGGCACCAATTATTTGCAACCTACTAGCATAATAACGTTCACATTTTCATGCCAAGACAAATCAACTCTCCACTTGGCCATCACTATCATGACCCTGTCAATATGCTCTTTCCAAGCCTAGAAAAACTTTACCTTCACCCTCTCCTGATAATCTTGATCTTGAAAATATTAAGGTAAAACAAAACAAGAAAAAAAACCTCATCCTCTCGTAGAGGAAAATAAAAAAGGAACAAAACAACAAGAGAGGGACACCGAAGTTTGCGTCTGAAAATGCCCCACGGATGAACGGACGGATGTGACCAGAGCAGTTGAAGGCCTGTGTGAGGCACACGCAAAAGCAAATCTTGAGGAGAAAATGATCTGATCGGATCAGATATTTACAACTTTTGCATCGAGAGGAAAGCCCTAATCCTATCTCCTTTGTTTTATCTCTTGTCCTGCCTTCCAAATTCCAATCAGTCGCCGTCTCCTAGTCCAAGAATCGAGAGCGCCGGAAAGAGACCGTAAATAATACTATGATGCAAAGACTTTGCATGCCGAGATAAGGTTCCTGGTGTTTGTGGTGCTGGAACTTGCAAGTGATTCCTCTGCAGTTGAAGCTGCAGTTATAAGCTCACGCAAGGAGGGCTCGTGGTGTGCTCGAATCAATATGTGTTTGGCTGAAGGGACACGATGGGTCAGGATAGAGCGAACCCATATTTCAGAATGTTTGGTTTGATGAAAGTCAGGTCAAGTCAACACCATTGGAGTCATGACCTGATAATTCTATGCTAGTAGTACACACCTTGAACAACTCGGAGCAGGGGCGGATCCAGCATGGGGGCGGCGGGGTCTCGAGTCCTCACGAAGACCCCACATTTTACCATACGTAGATAGGAGTGGGGACTATAACTTTATCTATAACTTTATCTAGTTTGCTTAGACCCCACCGCTATTTAACCGCCACCGACTTGGAGGAGTAAGAAGAGATTATCGGCTGTCGAATCGTGCTTTGAGATTAGTGCGAATATCCAGAAGGTGGGGGGCCTCAAGAGGCAGCTCTCAACTTTGGCAAAGCAAAGCAGTGACTGTGAGCCCAGTGACAGTGTCAAAAGGAAAATTAATTAGAGGTTAGCCTAGCTATCTACGTGGCTTAATTAAAACGACCGGTTGCTTTCGGTGGCTACTGGCTAGCCGTGTGGCCGGCACGGGACAGGGGAAGCAGCCACAGGATTACGCTTCCCTACATGGGACCGCGCCAACAGCTCTAATCTATAAAATTAGTAGTAGATGTGAATTCTTGGGGTATGATTATTTGGATTCACAACTTGCAACCTTTTTTGTTTCGGTTTCTTGCTCTCAAGTCGAGCAGCAGGTAGGGGTGTGATTGAGACTCTGTGCCTACCAACCATACAAGAAGGCATTTTTAGTTAGCTAGGATTTTCATCTGATCAGGGAACTAATGCTTTTTTTGAGAGAGAGGGAACTAATGCTTGACTAGTAAAACCTTTCTTCTACTAACTCTGTCTTAAAATATAGCAAATTAGACATAACATGTAACACGAATCTGTACAAGCTCCTTATTCGTCGTAGAATTTTGAATCTGTACAAGCTCCTTATTCGTCGCATAATTTTTCACGATCTCGCAGATATATGTATTTTTTTATCATGATTTACGCTAAGAAATGGTAATGATGAAAAACTGTAACATGGCGAAAATATTTTTAGGGACAAATATGTAATGACAATAAAATTAAATACTAGTTCTAAATATTTGTAATCAGTAGCCAAACTCTAAGATCATGCAGATTACTAGTAGGTCATTAGGTACAGAAGGAATGATTTTTTTCTTTTTGTACCTCGATGTTTCGTTGGACGTCGAGCCTCAGCACAGCCATGGTCGGACCGATCTTATCTGCAAACGCCCATGTAGGAGTATCACCAGAGAACAGTAAGAACAAGCAAAAGCAACAACGACAAAGCACGCAGGTCACCATGTGTTCAAATGAAGAAACGGGATGCGATACAGATTACTGGCAGGTGATGGCAGATAGAGGAGTCAAACCATGCAATGGCATGTAAAAAAGGAAAAAAAATGGAAGAATTGGAGAAGGAAGGATGAATTATTTTTGAAATTTGAACCAAGAACAAGGTTGAAAGAGGAGGAGATGCGTGGAGGCAGAGCAGGGGAAGATAGGACGAACTCACCGAGCACCTGGAGGAGGAGGTGAGAGAGCGCGAGGAAGGTCAGCGTGGGAGGAGGCGGCAACGGCGGCGGCGGCTTCCCGCCGCGGCGCTCGACGTCGACGGCGGAGAGCTCCTCGATCGCCAGCCGTATCTCCGACCACCCGCGCTTCGCCGCCTCCTCCTCTTCCTCCTCTCGATCTCTCCCGTCCTCCTCCTCCTCCTTCGGCTCGTCTCCTTCGCCCGCGTCCTTCGCTCCTACGGCCTTCGCCGCCGCGTCTCCTCCTCCTTCGCTTTCGCCGCATGGCCCGTCGTCCATGGCGCTCGCCGTCGCCGCCGCCGCTTCGCTCTCATCTCTCCCCGTCTCCGTCTCCACCACCATGGATTGATACCTCAGAAAGTCTTCGGTCTTCGTCGGAGTCACCAATCACATGGCGATTGCGAGCACGCAATTATTGTCGTTGTGATCCTTCGCTGTGTGTGTTCTTGTCCTGTGTCAGGGAGAGTGTGAAGTCAAAATGCTCAAACACCGTGCCGCTTCTGTAGGCATAGAAGAGAGATTTATGAATATATACTAAGGGCAGAAAAGAATAAAAAAAAAGCTTCAGCGGAGCTTAAGATTCTAAGAAAGAATTTAAAAAAACTGGTTTTTCCTGCTTTTGGCTTTTATCTTTTTTTTTATTCTACAACTACATCTTCTCATAATCTAAATCAAAAGTTGTTTAGAAAACTTCTGATTCTAAAAAAAAGCTGTACCAACTAAAATCTTCTCCAAACATGCCCTTGGATTGGTTGGGCACGTTGCACGTTAGTTAACCCGCCTTTGTTCGCTCTGGGGAACGAGAAAAGGCACTGACAAGTGGTAAAAATTTACGAGTACTAGCAGTACAATGGTCCACGGTTATCGAACTGGTGATTGAGTGGTGAACATGGTAATTAACCAAGCTTTGCCGTCAGCGTGCGTTAAAACAAACAACGGCACGTCCAGCTCACTGAATTTCTATCGAGAACCAATCCGCATGTGCATAATATTTCATCTACTGAGTATATATGTACTTTGAAAAGATATTTACTACCCTCTTACTAACAAGGATGTCAAACATTTAATTCAATTATAGTGGGGGTAATAATAAAAATCAACATCCAATCACATTGTACCACGTCAGTTTTGTAGGATGTTTGGGAACAAAATTTTGTATCTGTATCATTTTTCTCCCAATATTCACCATGCAATATTCACCGCGTAACCGTATGGTTACCACAGTAACTGTGCTTCCCACACGGATGCGATTCCTTCACCGGTCAAATTATTTTAAGTTTAACCATGGTTACCAAGCTTACCTCGGGAAAGGGTAACCACATGCCACATATTGATGCCCACTGCGCAAAGTTTTTCATGAGATTTATGTTTATATACATATTTTAAATCATGTCTCGAGTCAAAACTAAAACCAAAGTGGGTGTATTTCTTCTACAGTAGTCCTGCACTTCCAACTTGTTTGCATGTTACAGTTTGATATGCAAAACTTCTGCAAGACTAGTTTATGATTGTGATATTAATCAGTATATGGAGCAGTTTTTATTATCCTGATATTGATAGCCCTCATTATTACTCTAAAGAAATATAGGGAGAGGGCGTCACGTCCTCTTATCATACTCGACGCATGAAAGGGATCACGCCAAGGAGAAGACACCAGAAGACAATATCCCTGGCCGTCACACACCAGTTCAGTCAGCAATGACGAAATAAATGGCCATGTCACTCCTATCTTTTAAGTTCCAATCGGCCGCCAAAACAGGTACATGCCCCAATTCTCACAGCAGTTTCTGCCCCCCACAAAAAAGAAGTGATCAGCTGCTACACCATCTTGACCAGATGCCAGATGCAGTCCCAGATCCTCAGAAACCATCGGTACACCACCAAACAGCTTCTGCAGTCCACCACAGGTAAACAACCAAGGTGCAAATGTAAAATGTTACGATCGCCAGACATGAGAAGCTCGCACTAAGTAAATGGCAAATTGGCCCTGGCTGCATGTGATTGCCACTTTGCCTGACGACCTTGGAAGAGAGATACTCCTTGGACATATGCAAAACAATCCTGATCTTTAAGTAGCCTTGATACTGATTCTGATTTCGGTCTGGTGGTCCGAAAGAAAGTATAGATAATTTCATAAATTGTCCCCCAAAAAAAGTGTCATGGACTCATGGTGTCAAGATTCCCCAACATGATGCCGTTGGAAACCAAAGATAAACTATCCAATGGAATCCACAAAGCTGTGGGATCAGCTAATTCCAGACAGGGCAACAGCAAAACTGATGCTCGTTTGGTGTTCACAGTTTGTGCTTTAACCACTTAGCTCATGCAGCAGCAATACAGCAGCGTGATTTCCAGTAAACAGATCACTCAGCTCGTTGACATTTGGTTCTCCCTAATCGCTTGTAGTGGGGTACTGATTAAATCCGACCTGGCTCTACTTTACCAAAAGGAATTCCAAAATATCCTCCAACAGGCAACAGTAGCAAAACATTGATTAAAGAAGTGCAAAAGAATGAATGATGCGACAAACAAATTGAATCATATGCAGACGGCAAACTCAAAATTAAAACATCTTTATGAAGGCTAGTACACAACCACTCGTGCAATCCCCTTTTTAAAGAGAGAAAGAACTGAGTCAAGTTTAAGCAACCTCTGAAACATCACACGATGATAATCTCTTCTGTTACATAGAACTTTTTTAGGCTTTTCATTGTCTATGACATCTTAGCAAGCAGCACAACAGCCAGCGCAGCAGCTCTTTGGCAGCAGTAGCAGATTTAGCAGCAGCAGAGCGGTAGCAGCGGCAGCAGGGCAGGGCACTCAATACTGAGGAAACAACGAGTACCCATTTGTTAAAGAGAGCTAATACCATTGTCAATTAAAAAATCTAAAAAATCAAATAATAAGAACTCTCTGCATTTAATATTTTGTTGATTTGTTCCATAAAGGGAAATAATAAAAGGTGAAATCTGCATGTTGACCCTATCTGAGTTGTCAATGGAATATAGATACACTGTAACTTAAACACTGGAGTAGACTTGAAACATGTCAAATGACAGATGACTCAGCTAACTATATTTTTAAGCCACTAAAGCACACCACAATAATTAATGATCATGTTAAAGCTGGAAGAATAATACAAGTATAGTGCGCTAATGATTACACAAAAAATTGTAACTTCACTTGATAGGAATTCATGACATGAAATAAATGATTCATTTTATCACAACCAAACTTCAAAGAATAATTGGAGGATAACATATCATAGATCATTTCATCAAACATCAGCCTGCATTGCAGACCAAGTCCACAAACTAATATAATTTTCTGAAACACTATACTCATATAATAGATAATATGTCATTGTTGTGTGGTTAATATGTCAAGAAACACTAATGGAACTAAGGAATAGAACTGACCACAATGGCAGCTGATGTTTAATCAAAGACAACGGAAGTTATCTCATATTAAAACATTTCAACAGTATATATCAAATGGCATGACCATATGGTGAACAAAATTAGCACATTTTAGAGGACATTTTCAACAATGCTATACCTCTTTGCATGGAAAGAGTACTAGTCTATGCTAGCATTTCATAGGTACATGCTATATTACCCACATGATCAGTTGGCAAACAAAATTTTGCAACCTTAAAACATCATATGATTGCTCCAGCTGTTTTGAATGGACAGAACATCCATAAGGAATTAAGGTCTTAGGTAAATTTGATTTGGACATTTCTAAGGGTTGTATGCGCTCTGTGTATGTGCTTTGCAGCTATTTGATGCTAATTTGATTCTGAATTCAAAGGAAACAAAACATTGGATATAAGTTACTTTACTTTATCCAATAGAATTTGAGCTTGCAGGTGGATGGTAAAAGCGACAGGCAGGTCGATTGCATTCTCCTCGCTTAAAATCACGGCAAACTTCAACTTGGGTATTCATCACCTATTAGAAAATGTTTGGAAAGAACTTGCTAATTAGTAGCCTGTAAAACAAATGGTTCATGCCAGAAGAAGAAAATTATAAAAACCTCATTATTCAAATCCGGGTGTGCAAATCTGCAGGATTCTCTATTACACATGTTCTTCAAGTAGTCCCTGCAAACTTCCACTCCGTAGTTATTACCTGCAGAAGAGCAACGATCAAAAGCTTGCCAAAATAGCAACAGAATAGGGTAGACACTCAAAACTTCATTTACCAGAAAAGGCTGAACAGTAATAGGGAAAACTAATGTACCTTTTTGCTAAATTCATTAAAACTGAACATCAGTAGTAAATGGTCTATCATGCACTATTTACCAGAAAAGGCTGCAGGGGCTGAAGGGGGAGGCATCATCATAGGTACTCCAAGGGGTGCTGGTGGTGGCATGTAAACCTTGAAGGCAGTGAATAAAATTTTAAGACTATATTACTATAATCAAATTATGAAAACAGAAAACAAAACAGTAGAACACTCTTTACGATCAAAAGACAAGCAATTATCTATTTAACAATTCATTTCTTATTGCATCTGAATTCTGAACAAATAATGGCAAGTCTATGTGAGTTAAAGGAACACTAACTGTCTTGCTTCCAAAAAATATACTCCCTCCGTCCAAAATTATAATGCCTACTTTTTTTACACGATCTTCAATGACATACTTTGACCATTAACTTATTCCATGTTATGTTCCCAACAAATATGAAATTAGCATCATATGAAAGTACTTTAAAATATGAATCTAGCAATATAACATGCATAATATTTAGCATATATATGGTTAGTATGATTATTAGACAAAAGTTACCGAGTTTGATTTTCCTTAAAAAGAGGACGCCCTATAATTTGGGACAGAGGGAGTATTAAATAAGGCAAGTACAAATACTCCATAAGAAATTATTTTCAACAAGCAACAGCGTAATTCTGTAAGACTATGTTCGGTACAACAACTTACCATATCAGGGTATTGCATGGGAATATCCCTCATTGGGGGTGGCATTGGATGGGCCATAACATGAGAGTATCTACATGATTTACGATCACACCTCCCACGCAAGAAATCTTGGCAAACCTTCCAATGAAAAAGAAAAACCATCATACAAGTGCCAAGAAATATGGGATAGCACAAGCAAAGAACAACGTATTCATAGTCATACATGAGTTTCTTTGCTTTGAGATTGAGTAGGCAAAGGGGTATCTCTATCTCTACAGTATAAAAGAACCTAGTGATGGTTGTGGTGAGTCTGCCATCCTGCAACCAACTCTTGAGTCTTGAGTTGGTGGGATAATCCATGATCATCTGTGCATGTGGTTGTATTAAGGATATTTGTGGATTGATATATCCTTGCAAATTGTATATGCATTTTTTTTTAATCAATATGTATTAATTTATCACAAACTTTTGAAGATAGGATTTACAGTATATTGTTTATTTGAAGCATGTTCATTACTTGGTTATATAACAATGAAGTAGAGCATTACACATGAAAAATACTTTACTTGCTGCCCTGTTACTTTTGGGCTAGCGAACTGATGATATAATCTATCATTAAAATGGAATCTTACAATTGCACAATCCTCAAGGGGTGAATGGTGCAAGAATCGGCACTCGTTTGCTGATCTTGAACATCGTCCACGTGTAAAATCTCTGCAAACCTGCTGTTTATTAAAAGGAGTAGACTCAGTTGGTCTGTCATAAATGTTGAATGCGGAAGAGATATCCAATGAATTCATCATAATTCATACTAAGCTGCATAGAAACTTTAACACTTCATCTAATATGAAGCAGGACCTTCCACGTTCAGGTGATAGATGGTTTACAGCCCTTCTATGTGTTCTAGCTTTCAAAAAAGATTACTTGTTCCTTATGGACATACCATGCGACATCAAGCCAATTAGCTACCTTTTTTTTCTTGTTTGAAGCAGATAAACAACCTTTCCAATTAGCTTTACAATAGATAGTAAAAAACCATTAACTACTTAGAGAAATGACAAACCGATGCATGATTGATGAACAGATGAAAGGTTAAACAGGAGAAACTTACCATCTTCACCTTTGGGTCTTCCACACCAATTGATCTCAATAATGACCTACGTAAAAGAAACAAAAGAAAGTTGGGATCAGCTGGTTGCATCCAATGCCTGCATTTCATTTACAAAAATATGCTACCCTGCCTCCAAAGAGATAATCATAGGTCACAAAACAAGCCATCAACATTCAAATATAAGTTTTCTTTTCAATCGCAAACTAGCATAAAATACAGTGCATTCCCATTTCAGCATTCTGCATCATTCCACTCCAGTGTCTCCTTTAACCTAGAAATCTAAAGCTTCTCCCATATAGCACCCAGCACATACACGTGTGTGTGTGTGTCAAATAAAGAGCTACGTAATGTGAGCAGTGGCGCAGCTAGGGGGGTGCTGGAGGGTGCCAACACCCCGCTATCCAAAGACCACCACCACCACAACCCCCCTGTTTTTACTCTATATTAAGGTTAATTAAGATAAGTATTCATCTAGTTTATTTGTGTAACTTGAAAGTATTATCAGTTTAGTTAGTTAGCAAGTCCAAAAACATTAGCAAGAAACATGATATACAAAATTAGTTTGTGATTTCTCATCTTTTTCAAAGTAAAATAGATGATACTTATTTGTGAGATTATTCAATAGTTTACATTGAAAGAATTTAGCAATAAAGGCTAGTTTCAATCTTTCAATGATATTATTAAAGATCTAAAATTCAAGTTTTTTTTTAAAGGACTAGTTTACGCATTGATTGTTATTGACGGTGACTATTTGACCTCCTTTGCTATCAATATTAGTTATTTGGTCTCATGGCTTATCCTCACCCCCACACCCCCCCCTAATCTCAAATCTTGGCTTCGCCCCTGAATGTGAGAGTAAACATAATGTTCAAAAAAACAAAATAATATCAATTTACCCAGAGAGAATAAAGTAGAAAAAACAAGTTTTTCTCCCAAACAGCCAAACTCTGAACACATAAAATGTGTGAGAACACCTATACAACACACCGAGGGAATCATGGGTACACATGCCCATGAAATATAAAAACTGTGAGAACATAAAAACACGATAATGGAATTTTAATACAGAAAGTGGCTCATAAAACATTGTTCCAAGAAATTTCCATCAGAAGCACAAGTAAAAAAACAATGTCAGGCAGCTAATTTAATCCTCCAGATAGCACAGTAGAGCATGATCTCATGTAGCCATGATGCTGTTAATATTTCAGGAATTGAACTAGAAACGGAAGACTGTATGCTTGGAAGCACTAATCGAGTATTAATCGACTTGCATCAATAAATGGACTTGCAGCAGCTTGTGCATCTCTAGAACATAAGACCATACACGCTACCAACCCTCGTCGACAAAAGCACGCAATGCAAACGGAACAAACAGCAACGGGGCATCATCGCATACTCCTGGATATGAGGGGGCGGGTGGTAGTAGCGGCAGGTCCTTCCCCGGAAGCAGTTGTTCCGCAGCGAGTCCGCGCACGCCGTCACCTTGCTGTCCCTGCACATACAAAACCCCCCAAAATCAGACACGGGCGCCGCAGGAAGGGGGGGGGAGCGGGAGGCGAGATCTCCGGGAACGGTGGGGGGGCGGTACCTGTCGACGGCGACGGTGGGGTGCGGGTGCGCGTACTTGCACTCGATGTCGGCGCGGGCGCACCTGTCGCGGAGGAAGTCGCGGCACACCTCGACGTTGAGGTCGTTGTGCCGCCTCCGCTTCCCATCGGGGTACCGCGGGCTGGCGCTCCGCCCGCGGCTCCTGCTCCGGGAGCGGCTGCGGCTGCGGCCGCGGCGCGGGGAGCGGGAGCGGGAGCGGGAGGAGCGGCGGGTGGGGGAGGGCGTAGGGGAGAGGCGGCGTTTGCGTGGCGGGAGCGGGGGCGACGGCGATCCAGCGGCGGCGGGGTCGGTGGCGGCGGCAGCTGGGGCGGCGGCAGCTGGGTCGGCGGCGGCGGCGGCGTCGGTGTTGGGGATTTCGGCGTCGGGGTTGGGGGTCTCGGCGGACGCCATGGTGGTAGGGTAGGAGAGAGAGAGAGAGAGGGGAGGGAGGAGGTGGGCTCTGCGGCGGGGGGGTTGTCCGTGACAAGACAGGGATCTAGGTTTTGAGGGTGATTTAGCGGAGGATTTTGTTTATAAACGTCCACTACTAGTCTATACTCCCAAAATACAAAAATTTTCACAATTTGAATCTTTGCAAAAACTATTTTCACAAATGAACCGCCGCTAAAGCTTATTTCAAAAATAACCCTTTTGTTCAGGCACTGAACTTAGACACCTCAGCGCCAAAGCGTGGCGCTGAATATGCGTTGGCACGCTGACTTAGTCTCCCATCCGCGGTGCCATTGCATTCAGCGTCAGTTGATATGGCGCTGAGTTGTCTAAGTTCAGCGTCAGGTGATTTAAATAAGTTTTGGCAACAATTTATTTGTAAAAATAGTTTTTGCAAAGGGTCAAATTGTAAAAAATTCAGCCCAAAATAAGTTAATATAGGCTTTGTTTAGATCCAAAAATTTTGGTAAAAAACGTTACATCAAATGTTTGATACATGTATGGAACATTAAATGTGAAAAAAAACAATTGTACAGTTTCCATGTAAATTACGATACGAATCTTTTGAGCATAATTACGTCATGTTTTTGACAATGTGATGCTACAGTAAACATTTGCTAATGATGGATTAATTAGGCTTAATAAATTCGTCTCGCAGTTTACAGGTGGAATCTATAATTTATTTTGTTATTAGTTTACGTTTAATACTTCAAATGTGTTTATGTATACTTCAAAAACTTTACACAAAAAGAACTATACACACCCATAGTCCTCTCTACATCTCAAAATAAGTAGTAGTACAACTAGTTGAAGGAAACTGCTCCCTATAGTATCAAAATGTAAAAACTGAAAAGGTCAATTAGGTCTAGAGGGGGGGTGAATAGGCCAATTTAAAAACTTAAGAAAAGCGGAAGCAGTAATTTTTGGAACTTGGGTGGGAATTTTCGGAACTTCCGAAAGGATTTTCGAAACTTCCGAAAATGCACAGAGGAGCGCACACAAACAGAAGTATCTAGATCTAGAAGACTACCACATGAAAAGAAAGGCACATACAACAACTAGACCAATAGCGGCACAAGCAAGCAAAATTAGAGGAGAGGGATGAAAAGATATCACCAAGGTGAAGCTTGCAAACTTGTTCCCGGAGTTCAAATCCTTGGGGGATTCTACTCTCCGTTGAGGAGCTCACTAAGAGCCGGGTCTTAGCTAACCCTTTCCTCAAGAGGTTGCACTAAGCACTCCTTCCACTAAGAGGTATCTCTTCCCTTGCGGAGGCGAGATCCGGCCTTCACAAACTTCTCCCGGCCAACCACAAGTAGATCGGTGACTCGGGAGTGACACCTAGCCGTCTAGGAGTCCTCAACCTTCAAGAGTAAAAGATGATGCAAAGAACTCCCGGAGATTATGCAAGTGCTCACAAATCTTCACAAAGACCACAAGAAGCACCCACATAAACTCGAATCCACACTCTCACACACACACTAAATCGGAATCAAACACGGGTGGAGAGATGAATCGAGGAAGTAAGGCTCAAATGAACTAGAGAGAGAGCAAGCCAAGGGCACAAATAATTAGAATGAAACCAGCAGCCCTCACAAAGTGAGGGGAGGTGGGTATTTATACCCACAGCACAAATCTGCCCGTTGGAGTGTAATAAAAGTAATTTTCGGAACTTCCGAAACAATTTTCGGAACTTCCGAAAATTCTAGATCTGAGAAATAATCAAAGTCAACGCACTTTTCGGAACTTCCGAAAATTTCTAAAACGCTTCTGTGTATTTTCGGAACTTCCGAAAATCATTTTCGAAACTTCCGAAAATTTCCAGAGAGCTCTCAAACGGTCCTGTGTATTTTCGGAACTTCCAAATTCTTTTCGGAACTTCCGAAAATTTCCAGAACGCTCCAAAAGAGAAATTGATTTTGAGCACACACATCACTCCTTATATGTCTATGCATCATCCCCCTTAATAGTACGACTTTCCTGCGACACAATGCGAGGAAAAAGATACAATATAACATTTGATCATTGCCGCATTGCATCGTGATGTCGCATTCACAGGATATGCATTGTATTACAACACGTTGAGGATTTAACAACCTTCACATTTGCTTGAATAAAAATGTTAGTCCTCTCTAATCGCATTGTAATCAATCATCAAAATCATTAGGGGCCTAGATGCATTTTCAAAAACCTCGTATAGAATTTGATACTACATACTCCCTCCGATTCTATAATTCTAATGTTTTTGACGATGACACGGTCTCTGAGATATATCTTTAAAAATATTATTTTATTAAGAAGAGATCTGAATTACCTCTAAAATTATTTTATCCTTAACTAAAAAAATCAAACAATTTATACCCCGAATTTTTTAAACCGGACAAAGAAAATCCCTAGTCAATCCAAAGCGGTTTGGATCATACGAGCAATCCAGTCAGTCAAAAATAATAAAAATCAGTGGGCTGCACTTGTGACTTGTGAGCATCTTCTTCTCCTTTTCCTATCTCTCCTCTGCCTCTCACCTACCTTTGTTTTTGTCATTCTCCGTCCTCCCCCATGCGGCAGCCGCTACTGGTGAATGCGCGAGCTCTGAGCAACGAGGAGTTCAAGCTCGAGGCGGCGCGGTTGGTCCGAGAGACGGCTAGTAAATGAAACAACGGTGTTGCCTCTCGGGATCAAGCTTGGTGGGGGCTGGAGCTTGATGAGGATGTCCCGACGGATGCAAGCGATGCAGATCCCGACCGGCAGCGCCACGGCGGTAGGACCAAGTGGTAGCGTCCCAGTGACTGGATCCAGTTGCAGAGGCCCAAGGCATTGGCAAAATTTGCTACAGTACATCGAAATATTACGGTCTTTGCTGTGAGACATCCGAAGATCGTGTATTTGCTCGTGGACAATGTAAAAAAAGTGGTAATTAGCTGCTGGACCCTCCTCCCATTATTTTATTATTTCCAATCAAAATTGAGAGAGAAAGAGTTGTGTAATTACAAAAATACCCCTATACAGTGTTCTTCCTCTCACTTCTTTTCTTTTCCCCTTCTTCTTCTTCTTCTTCTTCTTCGTGGAGCAGAGAGCGACGGCGGCCGGCCCGAGCCGGGACGGCTCGGCCACGACGGGGCGGCGCCGCCGGCGACGCCCTCCGCGTCGGCGCGGTGCGCGGCGGCGGTGGCGGGCTCGACTTCTTCGCGTCGCGCTCCCACGCCGCCCGCCTTGTCGACCTCGTCACCTCGCCGTGGCCCGCCCACGTCGTCGCGTCCAAGCACGCCGCCTCCTCGTCGCGTGCTCTGCGGCGAGCTGCCCGAACAGCACGTCATCGGCATCATCGAGGAAGCCGCGCACCGCGTCACCATCTTTGCTTCGTCGGCGGCTTTGTGAAGGGAGGCTCCACTCTCGTCATGCGGCGCGACGAGCGGAGCCGATTTGGGGCTGCAGGAAGCAGCCATCGAGTCGAGCGGTCGCGAGGGAACAAAGCTCACTAGCTTGAGCGGCCACATGCCGCGTTTCTTTCTTCTCCTCTCTTTTCTTCTCCCGCGGGTGCTGCTCCGCCACGCGTGCGTTGTCGAGGTGAATGACGAGGTTGTGCGCGTCAACGGGCCACGGCCGGAGCCGAGGAGCACGCCACTGTTCCCGACCACGGTGCAGGTCAGGTAATGGTGCCCGAGGAGGCCCGTGAGGTCCCTCATCACGCCGGCCACATTCCTCCCGCGGCAGCGGCGAGCGGTGGGCGGCGAGGAACGACCCAAGCGACGTGCGAAACGAGGCGAGGAGCTTCCCGTCGGGGGGCAGCACATCCACCGGGACGCGGTGGCCTGCGAAGGTAGCAGGCCAGCAGCACGCACGCAGGAGGAAGAACCGAAGAAGATGAACATAGAAATAGAGAAAGAGAGATTGACAAGTGGGCCATGGGCAAACTTGTCTTTAACCAATGTTTCTTTCTCCATTACCACCGAAAATAATAAAATAATGAGGTGGGTGTTCAGCAACTAATTACCATATTTTTGCAGTGTCCACAAGCAAATACATATTTTTTGGGTGTCTCACTTTGAGTGTCCTGTAGCAAATTTGGCCCAAGGCAAAAGACAATGACCCCCGTACTCCAGTTTCGTGACCTCTTACATTTAAAGAAAAATTACAAACTTTCATGACGATTTATAAAATTTAAGACCAAACTCAATCAATACATGGATGGAAGTTAGGGTATTGTCCTCTATTCAGGGCCCTTTTAAATCGTAGGAATGAAAAAAAATAGATGAATAGAAAAACACAATATTCGAGCAGAAATGTGAAGTGTAAAATAGAGGATTGTAAAACACATGAATGATCGTTTAATTGGGCCACAGGAAAAACGCAAGAATCGGATGAAAGAAAAAGACTCAAAAGAATTTTTCCAAGAGGTTGGACCTCTTGTTAAATTTTCTCCAAAACCTACATGCAATGAGTCATTCCATAGAAATTATATAGGATTTCGAAAACTCCAATCATTTGAATCAAAGGCCCAAATAGGATATTTTCCTATAGGATTTCAATCCTATGAAATTTCTTAATAAATCCTTTGATAGTTACATTCTGGTAGGAACCTGGATATACCCATCCTAAATTACTGCATTCTGGTACGAACCTGAACGGAGAGAGTGAATGTTTTGGTTTTGGGGTGGACATCTGGGATTCCCTGTTGTCATCTTGACCATTCCTACCAGGCTACCATTTGTGTTGGGCCTCATGTAGTCAAGGGCCCCTGAAATATGAAGCTGAACCTGAATTTCTATTTCTGAAGAAAACGAAGCTGAATCTATGACTATGACCATTGTCTTGTTCGCATGGAGGAAGCAATCTGAGCAATGTCAGAGCTTTCGTGTTGTCGAACGGATGGGAATGCTCAATATACAGCTTGAGCAACAGACAGATTATCAAACTGCTTTTCGTTTGAAGGTTGGAACTTGGAAATCATGCTGTCGATGAAGGAGTCGATTGGCGAGGGTATTAGGCGTAAGAAGGGATTTCCATGCTGTTAGGTGCTACTTGTTCTTAACTGTGAAGTTCAACGATTCATTGCTGAACTCTCCAAGGGTTCATTTGGATGGAAGGGATTAAGTTGCAGACTTGCCGTAATTCTGTTTGAGAAGGATTTCAGTTCAGTTTTACTGCCAATATATGGAGGTTAGCTCTAAATTCGCCCTTTATGGAAACAATGTACTCTGTCAGATATTCAGATTGTCAGGCTGTTGTTTTTTATGTCACAAAGAACAGTGGGTCTGTAGCAAAGTCTGAAATTATGTTATCTTCTCTAAAACTAGTCTGAATATATCCTCTGAAAGACAGAAACTAGTCTGAAATTCTGATCTCTGAAACTAGTCTGAAATTCTATTATCTGAAACTAGCCTGAGATTCTACTCTGAAACTGCACTACAAGAATACAGGCACAGCAACTACAGAAGTTCTTTCAAATAATATATCAATTACAGTAGTCAGGACATTCTATTATCTTAAACTAGTCTGAAATTCTATTATCTGAAACTAGCCTGATATTCTACTCTGGAACTGATCGATGATTCAATACTACAGGCAGCACAACTTAAAGAAGAAGTTCTTTCAAGGGACATATCAATTACACTAGTCACAGACATGTTGTACAATTTGAGATCAACATCAAAGACGAACAGAAATTTCAGTTTATATATCAGAGGATCAAACAAAGAATCATCAATCACAGACACAGATTAATTGATAGGAAAATCAACAAATTATCAGATATTTATTGAATTGGATCAATTTACATCAATGATATAATACAAAGATCGATTTATCAAAGACTAGATGAAGCACAAGATAATTTTGTGCCATACATTAGTCACACTCACATCAAGAACCCAAACTATGAATCTGCCCTATTACAGGACGCCTAGTATCCGTACAGGAAGACATGGTGATGCCGGCCGCCGGCGACCCGCGCCGCGCGCGACGAGCAGGCGGCGCTGGAGCCGCTCCTCAGGTACGGATGGTGGCGGCGCCACGGCGGAGAAGTGCGAGACCCCGCATCGGACGGCACAGGCGACGGGGGCGGCGTGCTGGGGTTGTAGTCCGGCGATGCGGCCCGGCGCGGAGGGCTCAACGGGGTGTACTCCGGTGAGGCAGCTCGGCGAGGGGGCGAAGACGGCGAGTAGTCTGGCGACGCGGCCCGGCGAGGAGGCGTCGATGGGGTGTAGTCCGGCGACGCGGCGCAGCGCGGAGGCGTCGATGGCGAGTAGTCCGGCGACGAGGCGCGACGCGGAGGGCTCCACGGCGTGGACGGGGCGTAGTCCGGCGACGCGGCCCGGCGCCACGGAGTCGACGGGGTGTAATCCGGCGACGCGGCGCGGCGCGGAGGCGTCGATGGCGAGTAGTCCGGCGAAGCGGCGCGACGCGGAGGAGTCGACGGCGAGTAGTCAGGCGAAGCGGCGCGGCGCGAAGGGCTCCACGGCGGGGACGGGGCGTGGTCCGGCGACGCGGCCCTGCGCCACGGAGTCGACGGGGTGTAATCCGGCGACGCGGCCCGGCGCCACGGGGTAGACGGGGTGTACTCCGGCGACGCGGCGGTGCGCGGCGGAGGCGGAGGCGGAGGCGCCACCACCATCGGGCCGCAGAAGCACGTCGAGTAGAAAGCGTCGTCGGCGGAGGCGGAGCAGGACGCGTAGGAGGAGGAGGAGGACACCGTCGCCATCAGCACGAGGCCGCAGGCTACGTCGGAGGAGGAGAAGAAGAAGCGGAGGCGGAGGCGGAGGCGGAGGCGGAGGCGGAGGTGGAATGGATGCGGGGATCGAGAGGCCCACGCCGCTATGTAGGGCAAGGAGCTCCCATGTCGACTCCAAGTCGGAGTCGGAGTCCCAATGGCGGTAACTCGGCGTGGCGGGAAGGGGAAATGGGGAAGGCGCGCGCGCGAGCCCCTCGCGTGGAGGCGACGCGGAGATTTGGGAAATTGGGAAGCAGGTTACCTCCGTGGGCCAGATGGCCCAATTTTTTGGGCTGGGTGATTCCCTGTAGGAATAAGTTCACTTAAGATCCTTCATCTTGACGTCAAGTTCGAATTACATTCTCAAACCGCAATACCAGATATAACATGTCCCTCAGCTTATAAAACTGGTGTATCAGAGACCTTAGAGCAGTATAGTGCCCGGTTTTGGCCAATGTGACCAGTTGATTACAATCAACCTAGCTGAGTCAGCATGGACCTTACATATGTCAGCTGCCACTCCTTCCTCCTCTCTCCCCCTCTTCCCTATCTCTTACCAGGCTAGGTTGTTGGAAGGCGGGTGGTGTAGAGATGGACGGTGGTTGACACAAAGAAGGTGGGTTGTGGCAAAAGGCGAGCGGTGGGATTCCTTGAGGAGGCATGTACAAGAGGTCAACGGTGAGCACGGTGAGGGAGATCGCTAGCAAGCTTGATGGGGTCGACGATGGTTGCAGCCTTAGCGGCGGTGTCCTCTGAGCAACTGGATCTATTTAATGGCCCTCTCTCTTCCTCCCTATGTCAGTGTTCGACGAGGGATCGAAGGGATGCGAAGGAGGTCGGGAATGCATGGTGTTTGACTGCCGCTCGTTGCCACCGCTGCAGCAACCAACAGTAGTGGGCAAGAATCAACGAAATCGCACATATCAAGAACCAAAAAAGACATAGAAATGCGGGGGCGACGAAGCATATCGGAGAAGATGGCGACCCCACAGGGGTCAGAGAAAAGCTCGAATAGGAGGTCGACTGTCGATGTGTGTTTTAGAGATAACGAAGGAGGAGGGTGAGGAAAGAGATGAGGAAGAGAGAGGAAAGGGAGAGAAAGAAGGAAGAAAGTTGGCTGCTGACATGTGCGACTCACGCTGTCCTCAAAGTGAATTTATTTCTTCCCTGTATTACTGATATGAGTTGTATTAATTTGAAAATTAGGCCCATCTGCCAAGTCTTTAGTCTTATCTCCGAGTACTTTACATTAATCTTACATGTTCTTTTCTCATTTCTCTAATTGCGTGTGTTCTGCCATCATCATCTATTTGGTGAGCTTAAGTTAAGTTATATGACTTTGTTTGTGAAACCAGGTGATTTAGTCTTTAGTGAGTGTAGATGTGCGCAATATAATCCTTCACGTTGCATACTCGCATCACACAAATCAAACCTATGCATGAACAACTGGTTCAGCCATCATCTGAAGAAGGAAAAAAGAAAAGCCGGCCCTATGCATGAACTGCGCGCGCGAGGGCCGTTGGATCGATGAATCCCCAACACATGCAAAATCTACCTCGACACGCGGCACCAACACGCTCGCTTAGCCCCCCGTGCGACGGCGACACATTGATCGACAAGGACACGTACTGTCCAGGCTTAGCCCATTACGGCATTCGCCCCGGTGACCACACCTCGCACCCGGCCAGACTCCGGCAGCGGCCGCCATCATGGTCCCTCGCCTTCCCTTCTCTCGCCACTGCACTGAAGACGCGAGGTGGGGGTCCGACCCCATTGATGGGTCGGGCGCGCAGCATCCGGCGCCGATCCCCGCGACCGCGACACGCACTCGGACAAACACACCGCACAGGCGAACGGTGAGACCGATCGATGGTCCATCGTCAGAAAATGCTGAGAAAAAACGGCCTAGAATCTGTCAATCTGTACTACTCCTTCCTTTCATTCCCAAAAAAAAATAATACAAATTTATATAGCAATTTGACACCATCTAAAATAATAAATTTGGATATAAGTGAGAATTTGACATCACCTATACTAACGAATCTGAACAATCTTACATATAGATTCGTTGTCTGGAGGATGTAAAATCTCTATCTAAATTATCTTTCCTTTTTAAGGACGGATAGAGTAGCTAGCTAGCTAGGGTTGGATTAAGCTAACCCAAAGGTACTGCCCTGACGTTCCGAGGCCAAAAGTTGAGGACCAAAATGCCATGCGTACAGGCTACAGCGTACATCAGACTCGTCCACAGTGCTCTTGATGTCAAATTGCCCAAAGATATTTTATACTATCAA